GAAGAGAAGAGAAGAGAAGAGAAGAGAAGAGAAGAGAAGAGAAGAGAAGAGAAGAGAAGAGAAGAGAAGAGGAAAGGATAGTAGAGGGATAGAATGGATCAGACCAGACCCTGAGCAGACCACAACCCAACAGAACAGAACACAACAGAACACAACAGAATGAGTTGGAAGGGACCTTGGTGATCTTCTAGTCCAACCCCCCACTCAGGCAGGAAGCCCTATACAGACAAATGGTTGTCCTACCTCTTCTTTAAAACTTCCAATGTTGGGGCATTGGAGCAACGGTTCTGTCTCCAGCTGCAAATCCGCCAAAGGACTTTCTAACCAAGGTGCCTTAGAATGGAGGGAGGGGAGCAGCATCTGCCTTGATCCAGGCAGTCTTTGACTTACGACCCCAGTGGGGACCAGGATTTCTGCCGCTAAGCAAGGCAAGGTGTGTTCAGGGAGCCACGCCCACTTTTCAGTTGTTTGCCACCACCATCAAACGAACCGCTGCAGCTGTGAGGTGAACCACGTGGTCGGACTTGGAAGTCAGCCGAGAGAGGTTGCAAATGGCGACCGCATGACCCCAAGACACCACAACTGTCCTAAATGGAAGTAGTCCTCACCTTAACGACCACAACTGACCCCCAATTTTCTGTTGCTAAGCGAGACATATTTATGAGGGTCGCATTGTCCCAGGGTCACCTGATCCCCTTTTGTGACCTTCAGACAAGCCAAATCAACTGGGGTGCGGGTGGGCAGCCAGATTCACTTAACCGGGTGACTAATTTCAACTTGCCATGATTCACTGAACCACGGTTGGCAAAGAAGGTCATGAAACTGTAGAAAAAACCATTACTACCAACCTGCCTTCCATCGAGGACCTGTATCCTGCAGGAGTCAAAAGAAGGGCTGGGAAAATATTTACAGAGCCCTCACATCCCGGACATAAACTGTTTCAACTCCTACCCTCAAAACGATGCTATAGAGCATTTCACTCCAGAACAACTAGACACAAGGACAGTTTTTCCCCAAACGCCATCCCTCTGCTAAACAAATAACTCCCTCAACACTGTTCAACTATTTACAAAGTGTACACTACTATTACTGTTAATCTCCTTATCACCCATCCCCTCCCACTTGTGACTGTATGACTGTAACTTTCTCTCTTGTATCCTTACGATTTATATTCACTGCTTCCTAGTATGATTTGATGGCTTATTGTACCCTATGACTATCATTAAGTGTTGTACCTTATGATTCTTGACTCTTGACGAACGTATCTTTTCTTTTATGTGCACTGAGAGCATTTGCACCAAGACAAATTCCTTGTGTGTCCAATCACACTTGGCCAATAAATTATTCTAATTCTAAAAATGGGACTGAACTCACTTAACCAATGTCTCACTTAGCAGCAGAAATTTGGGTCTCAATTGTGGTTGTAACCCGAAGACTGGTGAAGTTCTCATGCCACTTTACAAAGCCTTAGTACAGGGGTGGGCAAACTACGGCCCGCGGGCCACATCCGGCCCGTTGGTCTTTTTTATGTGGCCCGCCGAAGATTGGTCCGTATGTAACCGCGGCCACTTTTTGGCTGCTTTCAGACGCGTTGAGAGGAGGTGGTTGAGGCGGAGGGCGTGTGGTGGAGAGCAAGTAGGGCGCCTGGCGGGCATGTCAGGCGGAGCAGGAAACGGGGGCAGGAGCCCGGCGGAGCGAAGAGAGCTGAAACCTGTTGAGGTCTCGTCGCAGTCCCTTCGCGGGGAGAGAAGCTGCCGAGCCGAGAGGAGCGCGGGATGCTGCCGGCTCGCCTCCCTGCCCCTCCGTCGTGACTGCGGGAGAAGGAGCCCTGAGCGCTGCTCTCGCGGCCACCACCGACAGAGCCCAGCTTCATTTCGCCTGAGCCGCGTTTGATTTGGAAGGGGGTGTGGGAGGCAGCACCAAAGGAGCACTCTGGGGTTCGGCCAACCACCCGCTGAGCGCCTCCGGGCTCCCCACCGTGGCGGGCAGACTTTGGGGCTGCACTCTGGAACCCAGAGCCACGGGACGGTGAAGCCGAGAGGCAGGAGGAGGCGCGTTGGAGCTGCAGCAGCCGGTTCAGATCTCTCGGTCCCAGGGAATCCCCCTCCGCCGAGGCGCCTGAGCCCCGAGCACCACCGGCATCGAGGAGCACGAGAAGCACAACGGGGCCACGGGAAGAGCTGCGCCCCAAGGAGCAACTGGTGGCCGGAGCGGCCGGGACTGGCAGTGGCGGCGAGGGCCCGACCTGCACAGGGGGGGCTGGGGCGGTTTTCTCCTGCGCCCGGCTTCGGAGCGGCCCACTGTGTGATCTTGGGCATCTGGCTCGCTGCGCCCTAGGCGCGCCTTTCCCTCGCCTCTCGGCCAGCAGCAGCAGCTCTGCCGCCGCCTCCTTCCTCCCCTAACGCCCGCTGTTGTGATGCATATTCCCGTAGACCCGAGCACCAGCAGGCGCTCACACCTCCCTCTATGGCCTTCCCCTGCGGTAAGATGGGAGAGAACAGCGGCGCCCTCAGCGCGCCGGTCCCGGGACCTCGCAGCCAGACCGAGGTGTGTGCGGTGGTGGACGTCCTGGCCGATCATCCGGGAGAACTGGTGAGGCCCGACAGCCCCAACTTCTTGTGCTTGGTGCTGCTTTCCCACTGGAGATGCAACAAGACCCTCCCCGTGGCCTTCAAGGTAAGCCGGGAGGGGAGGCTGGGCGGAGCGGGCAGGTCCTGGGAGAGGCGCGCAGATGTTTCCTGCCAAGCGGGCTTCCCAAGCGCCCGGGAGGACTCGTGGTTTAATGGCAAAAGCGGCGGCGGAATGGGCGCTGG